TGATCCTCAATAATAGATTTGTTTTTGGGTTCTCAATTGTGAAAAGTTTTTTCCACTGAAAAAAACTGCTCATGGAATCTTCCTTTACTTGGGAAGCCATGGAAGCTGAGGAAGAAGCTGAAAGCTTGGGGCTTCTCTTGAGCTGAAGATCTGAGGCTGCAAAGCAAAAGGATTGCTGAGAACAATTGCAAAGCACCTGAGAAAGGAAGCTGAATACAATCTATGAAAGGAAAATGAATACTACAATCAATTACAAAAAGGAATTCTCACAGGAATCCAGATTTGTTTTGGTGATAATTGATTATAGAGGGTCTCCTGTTTGTTTGGGGGGTGCCTTTACTAATCAGGATCGCACATTACAAACAAAAGAAACCAGAAGCTAGTGAGGACTAAACGTGATAGGTGGACACGGCTCGCATCGCATCGTAAAAAGGGAGTCTATAGGGGAAAGTCATGATCAGGAGTCCCAGCCCGACCGTGGACCGAAGGTTCCTGGGATGGGAGTGGGTGACATCCCTGAACCGGACCCGTCGGGTTGGGGGCGTGGGCGTGGGGTGTGAAACCCGCCTCCCAGCGCCAGCACGCCAGGCTCACAAGGAGCGCCTGCGACATCTGCCAGCGGCCCATCTGCGCCCAGCGGCGGATGGCGCTGTTCAGAGGTCCGACATGGCCCACTGCCTTGGGTCACAGAGCGCTGAGCCCACCCAGAGCCCCCCGGCTCTATTAGAAGCTTTGAATCGTGAAACAAGGCGAACCTCGTTCCGCATGTGTATCGATCATAGCATGGTCCCAAACATCTCCCAAAAAGGTTTCGGATTGGCTGAAGCGGGTTCACGACTGCAAGTGCTTCAGTGAGCCTCAGGTGGTACAAGTTTGACCTCCACAAACTTCGAGCGATACAACCTACAGGGCTCCAACTAGCTCGTGACAAGGTGGTTGGGGTGGTCTCCAAAACCAAAATCTCTCTGCGCTGTGCTCCCAGGCCAACGGCGATGCACCAGTACACTCCACTATATACTAATTGACAATGGCAATGGCACTGCATGATTTGCACCACTCTTGAAAAAATGCTTCACCACCTGTGATAAACACAATGATGGTATTTACAGTTGTCTCTTTGCCCACGTGGGATTTCCTCAATCAACAGCAGTGAAGAGATTCTCACCCTCAGAGTTTCAACATTCCTTCCCCAACAGTTTTATTATAAGTGAATCATTTCATTTCGGAGTCCCCTTCTCCTGCCTTTCTCTTTCCATACTACTGGTGATGGATATAATCCTACTCCAGTTGAAATGTACAAAACATGCCCAAAGAGCTGGTCAAGGGCAGTGCGCAAGGATGATTTACTGGCTTTCCATGGCCTTCCATAAAGTAAAATTAAAAGTAAAACAACAGTAGAGATTCCGGGCAGAGACACAAAAACACATTACACTCCCAAAAACAATCATGGAAGTGGATGGCATGGCCCCTGGAATGACCATGAAATCCTCTACAAAGCAGGGGTAGTCCACTTCCATTGGCAGTTGGAGGCAAAGTAACTGAGGGGAAGGACTACCGCACCTTCCCATCTCCAAGTCTCTTCGGCATTGCCCAGGGCCTCCTGAACCAACGGCTCGCTGCGCAGGGCCATCGTGAAGCTTGCTCATGGCTGGCGAGAGGAAAAAGCTTGCTCGTTCTGCAGCAGCACACCCTGTTTGTAGGGGGAACTAGTCACAAGGGTCCATTTTCCACTTCCATGCTAGTGAGTCAGAGAGTAGGTGTGCTTGAATGCCAAATGCCAGGGCCCCCCCACAAACATGGGGTGTCTATTCATAGCCCCTTTGTCCATGAAGCCGGCCACAAAGTGGGTCCAGGTGCATGACCTATGGGTCCAGGTGAATGATCTGTGGGTCCAGGTGAATGACCTGTGGGTCCAGGTGAATGACCTGATGAGCTTCTTTCTGGAATATGAACCTTTCTGGCTGGGTTTTGATGTACTTTCCCCAGTTCGAAGTTGCGTGCAGTCTGCAGAAAAATAGACCGTACATGACCGTACTTACAGTCGTTCTGCGGTACTTGGTGAATATCAACACCCCAACTGCGGTTTTCTTCCATGGTGTTCTTTCTTCCTGAACAAATGCAGTAAGGTGGTGCGTCGCAACTCTTCATGAGGGAAAACAGGTGTTTAAAGTTTAAGCATGGTAGTCGGTAGTCGTTGTTGGTTTTCAACCAGAGTCTGCAGCCCGAAGTTGGCATTTTTTTCCGGAGGTGCCCAAGGAACCTGAGGTGGCTAAGTAGAGCTTTGCTGAGTTAGCATGGCCTACAGGGCGTCTTGTATCACCAATAATTATATACGTATATATATATAACCGTGGTGCTTCTGTAGTTGAATCCATTGGGTGCACCAATTTCGGTTGCAATGTTTGTGGTTGTCTGGAGCTCGAGTTCAGGTAATTTCGGATGCCTGTCTTTTTTCAAACGAGCCGAGGCTGCCTTCAGCATTCTTGAGAGGCAAGTGTCCCAAACACTCAAGCCAGCCAACGCAGCATATAACAGATTGGTGTTGGCTGCTCTCCCCTTCGCGGCTCTTTTCTGCACGCCTTCGGTGACCTACAGTGTATGGAAGACTCCGGGTCACCTCATAACATGTGGCTGCTAACAACCTCCTAGCTTGATTGCATTTGCAAAATCAACAAATCAGAAAGTCAGTATGAACTTTAGGAGGAACTTAAAACATTATCTGATGCAAAGGCCTTCAACCCAAACACCGTTTAGCAAATGAGATGTCAATGTTGCTTACAACAAAAGCGTTGAGACGCTAGCTGTGCCGATGCGGACCACCAATGACAGCCTTCCCAGCATCTTCGGCCGCGCAGCAAACAGCCGACGCAAGGTCCAGCCGCCTCGTCCACATCTCATCTCATTGATCGAGGATTAGGTGTGGCATGAATTCAGTTGGTCCAGCCAGTTGGTCCAGCCACGAACGAACGCTCCCTCAGCTCGGAAGAGTGAATCTCTCAGCTCCGAAGAGTGAACTCAGGCGTCAGCTCCAGCGTCAGCTTGTCCTGAAAGATGAGGGATCTGGAGGTTTAAAACAAACAAAAAAAACAAATGCCTTGGATGCCTTGATGCTTTGGGTATTTCCCATTACCGGTACCAATGGATGATGATGGTTTCTAGCTAGTAAATGCTAGTAAGACTTTTCCCCAAGTGATACTTCTTTACCGACTGTCACTGGCAACGGGACACGCCATATGCATATCTTCAAGAAACAGTCCTTGATGGACCTCCAAAGTGTCTCAGGATGCTCGATGGAGACTTCACGCAAAGCTACGGCCATCGGGTTCTCGCCGCCAGGTGCAGTGAAGCGATCCAATTCTTCATGGCTCTGTGCATGGAAGACGCCCATCATCTCCTTTGTGGTGACCGGTGGAAGAGTCACCCATATGACCAATGGCTATACATTGCCCAGGGATAAATGAAAATAAATCGGTGTGTTCCACTTTCCTGTTTCTTGGAAGCCCGGGTGCACTTGAAGGTGAGAAGTGCGATGCGACAACAAACCCTGCTGGGAGTCTCGAAGCTCATTCATTTCGAGGAACTGAGCCTGAAAGTGATTCCGTTGTGAAACGCTTGCGCAGTCTCTATTGGAGCTCTCAGCTACTGATCTTTTCCTGCTCAGTTTAGCAGCCAGGGGATGCAAAGTGCTTCTTTGGGGCCATCGTTTTTCTGCGTCCAAAGGGTAGCGGTGAAGGTGAGTAGGAGTGAGATCATTGCTTCACCTGATGGAGCTGATTAGTCGGAATTTCCGGACCCTCTGGTCAGGTGTCACAGTCCATCCTCCACCACCCCAAACACCTCAAAGAGCGTACTTGTCCAGCCAAACCTGCCAGACCGCCAGCATTACCTCGAAAGAAAAAGAACACACCCCGATTTGTTTAAATACTACTGTATAGAATCAAGAAACAATATTCAGAATACTATATTTAGATTATTTATTTAGATGTCTCTCCTTGTGGCTGGGCATCCCTCCTCTTTTGAATTCAAACATTTTTGAAGCATGGGACTCCAACTGCGCCGAGCCTCACTGACTCCCATCTTCAAAGATGGCACAGTCGTCGCACGCTCTTGTGCCCGTGCAAACACGAAGACCTCCGGAGAAGCCGGAGCCATGGGTGCAGGCTGGTTGAGAAAGCCGATGTTGTAGGGCGCCTCAGCCAGAACCTCCAGGACTGCATGGAGCACGTGGCCCAGTAACATCACGTCGCTGGAGCCTGCTTTCAGCGAAAGACGAAGCGAAAAAACCGGATACTCCAACCAGGAGAGGGTCACCGAGTCTTTGAAGTTGACCGAGGCAATGGAACTGGCTTGGGCTACTGGATAAACCCAGGATTCAGTCAAAGCTTGATCCCCTGCTGGCGGGGGTGAGGCATGGCAGTGGATATGGTTCTGACTGGCTCCCGCGCCAATGCTGTTGAAACCCAAAACCAAAGAGCCAGGTGGTTCAATCGAGCTGCACAGCAGCACCATGTCACTGCAATCTGAGCGCTCAAAGGCCTGACTTCTCCAGTTGCTCCTCTCAGACAAGGATGGAAGGAGCAGGAAATGCCCTCGAACATCTGCAGGACTCATGTTGTGATAAATATCCCAATCATTGGTCATCCCCGCAAGCTTCACTCGTCCCAGCAAGGGTCGCAATTCCAAACGGAGAGGTCCAGTGACAAAGGAGTCTGTGCTGGAATCATAGGGAGGGGGACGGGAAGAACATCTCTCCGAGGGACCAAAAGCAGGGGCAGGCCGCATGGTACGGACGAGCTGCAATTGACAAGCAAAAGGACCTTTCACTCTGAACTTTAGAGATGAACCTTCAGCATCTCGACAGCGTGATAGGGTCTCCTTGATATTCTTTACCAGCTCTGACTCTGCGACTTCCGTGGAACCGCTCTGATCAACTTCCTCCACGAAGTCTTCAAACACTATCGAGCCGCCCTGATGAGAAAGGCGGACTCCATAGCGGACGGTGATGTCCGCATCGGGCTTCAGCCGAGTGGTTGCCACGACGTGGTCCTTCTTGACCAAATCAACCCAAGCGCGAGACAAGTCTATCGATGCAAGACTGTAGCTGGGCCCGACTGGCGCCGCCATGAGCCCCCAGAAGAGGAAAAGCTGCGATTGAGAAGTGGATGGAAACAAAACCACACCAGCTAAGATACTACAGTGCAAACATCCTTGATCCTACTGGCTCACCAAAACTGTTCAGTTGGACCAGTCGGGGTGGTATAATTAGAGGTTGAAAGGGTAAAGTGTAAACCAAGTCAAAAAAAAGCAAATGGACGGCATCAGCCAACTTACATCAAGTATTGTAATTGTAGCAGGCAGGACCGTTCCACATTCCAAGAATTTGCACATGCACCCAACGCTAGCATGCGGCGGTCTCTGCTCCACACCCATCCAGCATACAAATCTCTGCAACCTCACCTTTGCAACAAGGGTGTAGACTGTGGAACCATCGGAGGCAGGCCGACAGGGAAATTGCAAAATACTATGAACACAATTCTGGCTACGTATATATATATATATATATTTGTTCTTTTTGGGGGGGTGCATGAAGCTACTGAAAGGTTTGACCACCCCAGCCCTCACCCTTCCTAAGTAAAAGCACTAGTCGAGTCTGTCACTTCACTTTTTGCGAAGGATTTCCAGTTTGTGTTGCCGATCTGTTGCAGGACAAGTGGGAGATTGGCTCAGTTCCACATCAAAACAGCCTTTGGCGAGCAGGTGTGTCATGCCTGGAACGAGCATGAGGAGCTGTCTAGCCTAGTCTATGGCCCTATATGGCTGTCTGTTTGCCACTTGGCTGGCGCAAGTTGCAAGGCCTCAGTACGAAGGCCCAAAAGACCTACCTCCCACCGAGTTTCGGTACAAATGCTGCACAACCACGGCTCGGTGGCGAATGTTGCCACCTTCAAAGCCCGCAGCTGATGCCACACGAATTGGCACTTCGCCCCGAATTGGCCGGGACGGCCGCCTCAGGCGACCAGGACCTTGCGGGGTCCCAGTTCGGCATCCCACAAAAAGACACATCGAAGCCAAACCTTGACCTGTTGGAGTGATCCTTTCCCTTTCGAATTTTTCAAAGTATGGCTGGCAAAGAAAAACGGGTCTCACGTTTTTTCACGCAGGATCTGCCTGGCCTATCCAGACTTGAAAAGGAGGATGGCCACTTGCCCCAAATAGAAGTAGATGAAGTGCTTCGTTTCATGGGTCACATAGGAGCCGAAGTTGCGACCCACCACTGCGTGCCACGTCGGGTTGTACTTCTTGTCAAACTCCTTTGGGTCAAAAAGAATTCTTGAACAGGCTGGACGGGTCAAAGGTTTTGACCCTGCAACCAAACGAAACACCCTTCAAAATCAAGAAACTCCTCCGCCAGGGTCTTGAGCTCCGTATACCGTATACACACGTATACACAGTATATAATGAACCCAAAGGAAACATACCGTATTACAGCCTCTGAACAGTCTCAGCTCAGGACCAACCCAAGCTATATACACAAGCTCGTGAAAGGCTGACATGCTCCAGTGCTGTGTTGGTGTGGTTTCTTTATCCGCTGATGGCAGCCTGATCATACCATAGCATTGTACTCAACAATAGCTGAGACGTTCCGTGCAGATACCACACCATCGATACCAAGTCTGGGTCCATGCGGTCCATGCGCTCGAGATGACTGTGACTACACCGACCTAAGCCTCAGTCCTTCTTGATGAATGCGGCGATGTCTTTCCTGAAGCAAATCGGGGTCCCCTCTTTTGAGTACTTCCTGTATAGATGAAGTGATAAACAACATTCTTGCGATCAATGCACATCATCTTACAGCAAAGGAGCGTAGATGGCAAAATTCCCCATGTCGGTGGTTTATGTAGGCCCCCACATCTAAAAGACATTGAAGGTTTTGTGCCATCGACTCTGAAACCACTGGTCCATGAAGCCGTGGGTGGGAGACTCCAGCCCTCCACAAAGGAGGTCTGGGACTGGTCTGAGGGCCCGGCCAAGCGGGGAAAAGCAGGTTGGAAGAGCTTGCTTTTTGAGGGACATGGTTGGATGAGAAAGGGAAGCAAGCACAGCAGCTGGGTAGGTCGTTTCCAAGCATCAATGCTAGAAGCAATGCTGGATGGTTTGAGCTCGGATGCTGGGCATCTGCGCTGTCCTGCATGGTCTTCGTTGCGGGAGTTCGGTGAGAGACTCCCAAGACACTCCTTCCCAAACGCCAAAGCCGATAGATCAACAGGACCAGCGGGATCAGCACGAACTCCAGCATGCGCAGCACGGAGTCGTCGGCAACACACGAGGCATTGCCCCCATTCTCAGTGGGCCTTTCTGACCCCCTGACCTACGGCACTAACAAGAAGTTACTATGGCACTATGGGCTCCTGGCATTACTAGGAGCAAGGATGCTACTAGGGGCTCCTGGCCTTACTACTAGGAACAAGAAGCTACCAGGGGCTCCATGATGATTTTGGGACAAAGTAATCCAAACAAGAGGACAAAGAGTACCCTCCCAAACCCTGGCCACGCTGCCAGGCCCCTGCCGCCGGGCAATTGAAAGCCCAAGCATCTCAATGTTGTACTTCTCCAAAGCCTGAGTCGCACAATCAATGGCATCTTGCTGCATGTCCTCGGCCATGTCAGCGTTCTTGATCACAGCCTGCAAGCAGGAGTTGTTCGAACGCCTCAACGTGTCGCCAACGCCGGCAACGGGGCCCAACGGCCTCTCACATCGAAAACGCTGACGGTCTGACGGGATGGAAAACATAGGTATCCATTTCCATCGTATCCATGCCACAAACGTCTCAGTAGTTGGACCCAATTCACGATATGTTGCTGGTTGTTTACAAGAGGGCACAATAAGGGAGATCCCTGATACTCACAAAACAATTTGCTCCCCTCCAATGTTAGTTTTCCTGGTATTATAGAACTCCCCTAGTGGAGTGGTTCTTGTTGGGCTTCCGGTTGCATCCTCTAAGCACTTACACTCGGTCAACATTTTATCAAAACGGTTGAATATAATTACACACTCACACTCAACATGGAGGTGGAAAACCTCTGGTTGCCATCGGTTACCTTGTTCGTAGTCTTCCTTTCGGGGCCATGCCTTCCACTTAGCTTCCATGTGTTCTACACATTGTGCGCACGCTTAACCAATCTCAGCGGCCTTGCGGTCTGCCATTGCTTACGAAACCGACGGCGAAACGGTGGCGAGGACGGCAACGTGGCGAGTCTTCAGTGCTCTGAGCCAGCGGGTGCCGCCGAGGTTTTCAGGTGCCGCCGGGGCGTGATTTGCAGGATGTTTGAAAGAACATCTGCAGGAGACCCATGTTTTCACCCGCTTTCTGCCCATGGGTTTCCAGTACTTTTTAAAACCAATTCTAGGAATGAATTGTGCCAAGGATTAGGCAGGATTGAATAGGAGCAATCAGTGAAACACCGAACATGTCCTGTCCAACGATCTAAATCTGGCCGAATCTGGCGACTTGACTAATATATTGTTTAGGGGGTAGAGGACGCTACTATAGGAGCAAAGGGCATCGCTACTAGGAGCAAGGACGCTACTAAAGGGGCTCTTGGCCTGACTACTAGGAGCCTTTTCTGGATCGCGTTCTCCGTCACTCCATCGGGTACCCCATATATGGGCGATCTGTTTGGAACTGACACATAGACACACCGGAGTTCAGTTCTAAAGCGGAGTTCAAAAGCTCCGTGTCGAAAGTGCCCAGAATTAGCACCACTGGTACCAAGGCATGCATGCCTATTTTGTTTGGCAAACAAAATGCATTGGTTTTCCCCCATCAAGCCAACACCACTTCCAAATAGCCGAACAAATAGAACTCCCTGCTGTCTGTGTTTTGCCGTGTGCCTCCGGGAGACACTCAACGGACCGTCTGGACTGGACTCGGCGATCCACCCGAGACGAAATCCGAGTTCCGTTTTCCGATCCGTTTTCCGATCGCAGTCCAGCTAGCGACGCCCGTGCTTCACGGGCCTCGAAGATCCCCTCGGCTCGGTCGCTGTTTTCGATACGTAGACGAGAGAACTGCCGATACGTGTATATAGAGTGTAGAGATGATCTTCAATGCGGGTGCCCGAGAATCCCATTAATGGATGGCCACATGCCTCTAGAGCACCTGCCGAGACGAGAGAACCTGCCGGTGAGACCGGGTCCGTTCTGCCGCAGCCGCTCCGATGTTCAGCATGGCTGCGGACGTGGCCCACCTGCCGAGGTCGGGGCGAACCGTGGCGTGAACGACGTCACCGATGAGGCCGTTGGACCTCGTCGAGGCGAACGAACGCACCGCGAAAATGGCGCGACTCCTATAGAAACCGCCCTGATGTAGACACCACTGAGGAGGAAACCAAGATGTAGCAGCGATGAGTGCGAAATCAAGCCAAACGTTGATGGTGTTTCCCCTTTCGGAGTCTTTACCACAAGTGGTGAACAAACCTACTGCGTAAAGCGACCATGGGCCATGGGTAAAACTTTGGATGACGCTTGACACATCCAACCATGGAAACTCATGAAAATCTTGGGCGGAATAATTTATATGAATTTATCAACAGCAAGCTCCAAAAACAGGGCTCTTCATCCTACAGGGTGACAAGGTCTGACGTCATTGCCAACTGAATGGACAAACTCCTGCAAATGTATTGCTCCAATGGCAAAATCTTCAACAACTACAAGTACCTCTCATTCATGGTTGCAAAGTACAGGAAGGAGCTCTGGACAGTACCCAGAAAAGAAACCATTTTGGTGAGGCTGCCGCCAAAAATAACGGGAGCATCTTGGAGCGCACCATCCGTCAACGCTTCCGGACTCACCCGAGACATCAAAGCAAAAAGCATCACAACACTAAAACGGTTCTGAACCATATGGACCAGCAAACATGCAAAAACATGAATCATTAATTACATGATATAAATGATCCATTCAGGGGTTCTCCATGAATTCAGGTTCACTCGGAATTCAGCTGTTGGTGGTTCACCAGCCTCACTGGCCCGTCTGGCCACCCTGCCACGACGTCGGAGAGCGACTTCGTTGAGGCCTATCCAGACTTGAAAAGGAGGATGGCGACTTGGCCCAGGTAGAAGTAGATGAAATGCTTCGTCTCCTTGCCCCGGTCGTGTTTTTCTTCTGCACAGTGATGCACGGCAAAGAGGAGCAAATCTCCAAATGCAAC